CCGTGGATGAGAAGAGATGCGTAAAAAATAGGTGTATTTGATCACACTCTGTATAATCCAATTATGAGCATGAAAATGCAAGTGAAATCACGCTAAGCGACTATTACTTTCAAATATACACTTTGCTACATTGCAGTGGCTCTAAATATCACTTCTCAATTGCACATCCTTCAACCTATAATCCCTCTGGATTTAAATAAATTAAGCTAATCATTTAATTGCCATTCGCCAAATCAACCAAACGTTGATAGAGTGAATAAGTAATGAAATGAAGTCGAGTGATTAATTATTCATTGAAGAGTTATGAATAAATCAAAACTACAGTGCAAAATTATGCTGAAGTGAGCACTGAGTATAGAGTACATAGTCAGATATTAATTGATGTCTGATACTTGTGTAAGAGATTTTTATACAAAATTTCAATGCAGCGAGAACACGATTTCACTTCACATCTCAAACAATATGGAACCATTATTCCTCAATCAATTCTTTGTTGTTGTTGTTGTTGTTGAATTAAGACATAAGAGGCGTGCTAATTAGAGAAGAGAGTTGAAACTATGCGGAAAGTGATTTTCTGTTGCCCAAGTCGCGCAAGATCTAATATATCCATATGAAAAGAGACGCGCAACTTGGTGCAATAGAAGGAAGAAAAGTCGAAGGAGAGAGAAGAAAAGAAATGCATTTGCATAGAGGAAATTCTCTTATCATAAATCAACTCCACCCGACGCAATCGCCGTCTGTGACGAAGGCCTCCAATATGTCTGTGGCCAGAGAGCATTATGATGCAGAGAGAGAGAAAGATGGTGATGATGAAATGGAAATTATGCGCTCTCGGAATAGAGTTGGCAAGAATGGAAGTAGTACAAGTCGTGAATCAACTTCATGCTGAATCTCTTTCGATCCACTTTCAGTGTCTCTCAATTGCTGAATATTTTTGCCCTCGCGCTCGATGCGTTGCTCCATCCGCAACAGTGCCACGAGACCATCATGCAACATCATCTCTCTTCCCCCCAAATGAGAGTGTGCAATGAGATCATGGATGATAAATAAGAGGATTTTTCCGGTTTTATGTCTACATTCCGCAACACACAATTTATGGCCGAAGACGTTTTGCTGAAGATGTCGAGTGCGTCCGCCGCACCATATTGTATTGCACCTTTACCCGCGCATTTCATGCGTTTAAACACATTTCTCCTAATCGCCCAGTGTGTTTCATATCTTTATGGAGTTTAACTGTTTACGTAATAACACATAAAAACCGGAATTTATTACCGCAGTTTTGCTGTTCGAATTATGTTCGGAAGTCCTCGAATATCTACTCCGAAAAATGCCAAAACACATATTCAAATTATCCCTGTCACAGAGCGAGAAAGTCTACAACATGTTGATCTATGTGGACCATAATAGAGCTACTGCTCTTTTCACAATTTGCTACAGTGATATATTTTTACAAGCAATTAATCATTCAAAATTGTGTGACTCCAAGAGAGAAACTCCCACCGGGAAGTTTGTGAAAAGAGACCTCAAAATACAATAAGACCACGATCTCTTTGCGCTGATACAGAGCATTGCTAAAATTCCACTTTCCATTTTAGAGAATATACATACTTATATAGATAACAGACCAACGAAGGGAAAACCTCAAAACATCACATCTAATTTTAACAAGAATGCCTCGCATAAATTCATAGCAAATTTCAATGTAAAATCATTGATTGGCATTTTCAATGAAATATTTAGAAGTCTTCAAAAGGCCTTTTGCTTAAACTTCAAGATCATCACAAATATTAGGGAATCATCTCATGTTAATGATTTTTTTTGTTCATGATCTCATGCGACCACAAAAAAAGTAAAAGTTCTTTTGTGATGCACGATAAATGATCACGATTAAAGTGAAGCTCAACAATTGTGAATTCTTAATTAAGTTCAGGTGGCTTTTGAATGATAAAATAAAAACTCTCGTGGAAGTTTTTTTTTTGAAGGAATAAAGATCACGATATTCCCTGATCATTTGATCTCACGGATAAGAAAATAATATATACTTTTGCGTGGGATCACAATCCACGAAAATGGGCAAAAATATCCATTAGTTACGCCTGATTGCATAGCAATATTCCAAAACTATAACCTCCAGATCTGCAAGAAATATATACTTTAGGTGCAATTTTCTGCGTGGAATGGCAAATAAAATCGCAGAATTGCTTCATAAGCGAAAGATCGTATCGAAAATTATTATCAATCTATTAGCAATCATAGTTGGAAATCTCCTCTAATAATTTTTCCCAAAGCCCACAACCACATTTCACCGATTTATACGTGTAATTTTCTACGTCACTTCTCTTCCGCATCGTGAGTTAGTACGAAACAATGACAGATCAACACACATGATTCTCATTTGTGTCTATCTCAGCCCGAAAAAAGCATTTATTATTTTCTCATTAAATCCAAAAAATTTATACTCTCTCTCTCTCTCTTCGCGAGAATTGTGCTTCAGCAGCAACAAGTCTTTGACACCTCCTTTCCCGATGAGAAACTCTTCCGCCATGGACAGAAAGAAGGAGATCGTCTCGGATCGATATGGTGCAGAAGAAACCGTGAAAATGTAATTACATGGTTTTCAATTTCTGCACAATGAACAAAATGATTGCATTTTCATCTCAAAATGTCAGTTATTGCAACTCCTTCAGCGCAATATTTCGCTGAACAGCGGACGCTTCCCGACAAAACTTTGAGAGTGAAAAGAGAGAGGAAGTCCAAGTTAAACAGGCGGAACTGATAATGTCACAACTGCTCAATATATATCGTCATGTGTGCACAAACTTTTATGGGTGTTGTAGAGTTTGATGATGATTTTGCAAGAGAGTCGCTCGCCGCTCTATAGAGGAAAGTGCAGCAATTCTTTGGAAAAGAGCGAAACTAGCACGGGAAAAGCAAGAAGCGTAGAAAATTTGCACATTACACATTTTGATGTTTAAAGTTCAATTTCTGTCCAAACGATCGAAACAAAATCTTAAGCCATGAAGAGACAATTTCATGTTTTATGCGGTATTTTTTACTCTATCTTTACTGTTCATCAGAACTCTTGAAAAAAATCGGAAAATCAGACAAGAAGCTCAGCGTAAAAGTTGCAAGTAATGCAATTATTTCCCTATACAATCGCATTGGTCCATTAATTGAATAAATTAACGTGCCTCGTGCCTCCCACTAAACTCTTCAAAATCACTCTCCGCGTGTTCACTGTTTTCCTCACACAGCACAAGATGCAAATGCTTGGCAATGGAGTGAAAAGAAAAACCAAATATGCAATGAAGCATTTCCTTCCACACTCAAGTATCATCATCAACCATCATGCAGAGCCAAATTGAATGTTTTCCTCTCCGCATGTTGAAGAGGAAAAAAGTGAAATTACATTTTCCCTCGCGCCACAAAACCACCGCCTTCAATCGATAAACTATTCACCAAACACGTGTTGTAGGTTGTAAGAAGCTCAAACACTATATTGATCGCAGTGTATCTCGTCAGAGTGTCTGTGTTGTGCAAGAAAATGTTGCGTTTTAGTCTTTTCCAAGTCGAGGCGCGCAGAAAGAAATAAAGTCAAGAGAGTCTTGTGTAACAATTACCTTGATAATGGACATGACAAGAGACCAAAGAAACATTAAATGCCTCAATTTGGTCAAAAATCATAATTCTCTGGTCTTGGCGTGCAAAATTTCCCAATTAATCATTTAATTTCTTCAATTTGAAATGCTGTGAGTTCAGAGTGAAATGATATATGCATGATAATATGGATTTGTTCAATCGCTAAGTAATATTTTGCATCTCATTCAGGGATCTTGAACTTGAGGGCAACAACACTCCTCGCAAATTGCCAATTGACTGCCAAATGAAGACACGAGTCACGAGAAAATAAACAACAATTCTGTCTATAGCAAAATAAATGAAGAAACCTTCCTCTCGGTCAATGTGCATTGTCACATTTCAACGTGGCATTAAGTTATTGCCAAATAATTCTAACTTCCACTGCACAAATCATGGTTGTAAATCATAACAAAAAGCAGTTAACAAAACAGACAGCCGGAAATTTATTATATCTAACTATAAAATTAATTCTACGGTTTACAATTTATATAAAGTTTGACCTCACGATTGCCAAAGTTGCTGAACATTTTGGAGATTTATGCAAATGTCTGTGATTTTCTGGTTAACCAAAACAGAGAATCATTATTTTAGAGGATATTTGACTTTAATCTCATACAGGAAACACCAATTTATCTTCTTCTCTGATTCACCCTTTATTGCTTTCCACTTTAAATGACAAATTCTTGTGAATTTTATAAGGAAGAACAGACACTATAAATCCAATATGTTTATTGATATAAATTTGAGAAGTAAAAAAAAACACTGAATAGCATTAAATGATAATCACTTTGATATGGAAAATATCCAATTGGCAGACGCTTCCTCATATGACCACAAAGGGGGAAGTTGATTTTGCACGACAATTAAAATGTCAAAAATAGCAGAAATTATTATGCAGAGAAGAAAGGAAAAGTAGCAAGGTCTGATGAACATCAATTTTTCACACCCATTCTCGACCAGACTTGGCAGTCAATAGCAATAACAACTGATGATCTTTCACACCTCATAGGGAATCACCAATTATCAGCCAAGAGAGGGAATTCCTTCATTGTTTTCACCACGCAGAAGATGCGTCTGAGAGTGATTTCCCACAATTTCAACTCATGCCCAAACACACAATGCAAATATTCATTTCAATGAAATTCCTCACAACACCTCTTTTTCTTCACTCTTCCGCAGAAACTCTTATGGCGGAGTGATCATCTCATCCCCCAAATCGACAATGTCCAGTCAAGGAGTGACTGAGGCAGACAAAAGCAAGCATCCTCCTTCGCCGCCAAGCCATTGAGGTTGAAATTCCCCACTTGAGAGACGCGCATTGCACATCGCCGCAGACCGAAGAAGAAGAAGAAGACGAAAAAATGGTGCTCAACATCTTGATAGCCTCATCTGTGATCAATACGACATTCGGTGTGATAACAACTAGTCTCTGGGTGATTCCCTTCCTCCTGGCTGCAATCTCCTTCTATCGCTACGATCGCGTCGATCCCGAGTCCCGACCCTTCGATCGACGCGTCATCCTGCCCGAGTACGACTTCATCGTGATCGGCGCTGGGTCGGCGGGCGCCGTGGTGGCCAACAGACTGACCGAGGTGCCAGACTGGAAGGTGCTCCTCTTGGAAGCGGGTCCCGATGAGAATGAGATCTCAGACACACCATCACTTGCCGCCTATCTGCAGCTCAGCAAACTCGATTGGCGCTACAAAACGCGCTCCTCCAACACATCATGCCTCGGCATGGTGAACAACCGCTGCAATTGGCCACGCGGGAAAGTCCTCGGCGGCTCCAGCGTCCTCAACTACATGCTCTACGTGCGAGGCAATAAGAATGACTACAACTACTGGGAATCACTGGGAAATCCCGGGTGGAATTACGAAAATGTGCTGCATTACTTCAAGAAGTCCGAAGACAACAGAAATCCCTATTTGGCCCAAACCAGTCGCTATCATCGCACTGGCGGATATCTCACAGTGCAAGAATCACCGTGGCATTCACCCCTGGTGGCGGCCTTTGTGGAGGCGGGAACGGAAATTGGCTACCCAAACAGAGACATCAATGGAGCAGATCAGAAGGGTTTCATGATCGCACAGGGAACAATAAGACGCGGCAGCAGATGCAGCACAGCCAAAGCCTTCCTCAGACCCATCAGATTGCGAAAGAACTTTCATCTCAGCATGAACTCTCACGTGACAAAAATCCTAATTGATCCCAACACAAAGAGAACTTATGGCGTGGAGTTTGTGAAGAATGGCAAACGCTATCAAATCAATGCCAAGAAAGAAGTCATTCTGTCAGCCGGAGCCATAAACACGCCACAAATTCTCATGCTCTCGGGCATTGGACCGGCAGAACACTTGGAAGAGAAGGGAATTGATCTCCTGCACGACCTTCCCGTGGGTGACAACCTTCAGGATCACGTGGGAATGGCGGGATTAACATTTTTGGTGGATAAACCCGTGACACTCATTCCGACACGCATGAATGCCGGCGCTTTGGTGATGCATTATGTGGTGAATGAAAGAGGCCCAATGACGAGCTTAGGAGGGGTTGAAGGCCTGGCATTTGTAAACACACCACTGGCCAACAAGTCCGCCAACTGGCCCGACATTCAGTTTCACATGGCGCCGGCCTCTATCAACTCCGACGGCGGCGATCAGGTGAAGAAGATCCTGGGCCTCAAGGAGAGTCTCTACCGCGAAGTGTATCATCCCATTGCCAAGGAGGACGCTTGGACGATAATTCCTCTCCTGCTGCGACCCAGATCGAGAGGATGGGTGCGTCTGTACTCGCGAAATCCCTTCCAGGCGCCCATCATGGAGCCCAACTACTTTAAGGATCCGCACGACATCAAGACACTGGTGGAAGGTGCTAAAATTGCAAAGAGAGTCGCCGATGCCAAAGTCTTCAAGCAATTCGGGTCGAGAATCTACCGAAAGCCACTTCCCAATTGCAAACACTTGAAATTCTGGTCAGACGAATACATTGAGTGTCACATAAGAACAATCTCAATGACGATTTATCATCCTGTGGGAACAGCGAAAATGGGTCCCGCATGGGACAAAGAAGCTGTCGTGGATCCACGCTTGCGTGTCTACGGTGTCTCTGGTCTGAGGGTCATCGATGCCAGTATTATGCCAACAATCTCAAGTGGCAACACAAACGCCCCAGTAATTATGATTGGCGAGAAGGGAGCCGATCTGGTGAAGGAAGATTGGTTGGGCGATGAGTTTGTGTTAAATCCACTCACAGATCATTATTGAGTGGTTTTGTAAGCAAGACAAAAAAGCAAAATTTTGTCAATAAGTTCACACCTTTTGGCACAAAACTGTAAATAATTTACGCGTAATGTGAGTTCTCCCCGTTTAAGATTTTCACACGTGCTCAGGCGAAAATTAATGAAGAATTTGTGAGTGATAAAAGATCACCGTTAAAAATTCTATATGCTTTTTTTTTAGGAATTAAACAAGTAACTGAATTCAAGTGCTTTGCATGGTGAAAAACTCAAGCGTGTGTGCCATTTCTCGAATCAAAGAAATTTATATACAATTAAATTGCAGAGATTGACACAAGAGATGAGAAGTGCTAAACAATGATATGCAAAATTTAGTGCTTTATTATTCTATAGAGAAGAAGATTGTACATAATTCTGTAAATATTGTGTAGAGCGTTATTATTACGTTACAATTTCTTATGTAAATTTTTTGTCTTTATGGTGTATATCGACTGTAGAACAATGTAATTATTGAAAGCACTGGAGATTCTGATTGCAGCTAATCAGCGCTATTAGAACATCCTCAATTATTATCTCATTCGTAGACAGATAATGAGACATTAGGCTAACTAGCATGACTTTAAAGGAAAAATCTATTCCTGGCTGAGAAAATTAATAACAGTCAACGTGGTGAAGATCAATAATAAAGAGGAAATGTATACATAACATATGTTACCAACTCAACAAGACTGACCGTCTGAAGATCATTGGAAAGGTGAATTCAATAAAATGCTAGATTCACAATGATTCCCTTCGATATCACTCATTTTATTGTAAACGTCAATGCATTGCATCACATCGTTCTGGGAAATTCCCTGATGAATTGCAGTTATAATTTTCACCAGAAACGTCACTCAGTCACATGATAATTCATTCAGTGTCTCATATGAACCACAAACATGTAAATCCTGCTCGTAAAGCTCTAACAGCAGTGCATAAATCTCAAAGAACACTTTGCTATCTTGCGTAATGCAAGAACTATAATTGGCCGGAATTTTTTCATCTCTCTCGCATTTTTCTCACTGCCGCTGATTGGTTTTGTATACATATGTACCTCGATGACCCTTAAACGAGCAAACACCTCAATTACTATGAGGTGCAACCTTCAATATTTTGGTCGATGGACGCATAACTTGTCCAAAGAATCTCCATCCGCAAGATTACTTCCTCAAAAAGAATCCCCCCAATAAAACCATATGCATATACGGTACATATGCTTTTTTGCTCACTTCAACCTCATATCACGATAATTCATCGGAAATTGACCGAACAGACATGAAGATGTTGAGAGCGCAAGACTCCACGGTTATTGCGTCAATTAAGTGATTTATGCCACGCTTAATCACTTGCGAAATTGAATCGTCCTTTAAAGTTAAGGCGATAACTTGAGGAAGAAGACTATTTTTATGCTGCCTCACCCAAAATCTAAAGCGCCATCATTAGCGGTGGAATTTGGCATATAAACCAGTGATAAACTTAATGATAAAAGACAGTGAAGAACAACCGCAATGTGTGAGCCTAAAGGCCAAATGCTCGAGTTCATTGCATTCATTTAAATATCTTTTTGTTTGTTTTTTTTTAATGCATAGCCACTTAGAGAATATACATGCATAATTAAATTATTTTACATCGATTACTATCTTCGTCGGAGGTTTAGAAAGGTCCATTGTCCCTGAGACTCAACAATTGAAAACACGCATTATTAACCGTAATGGCAGAATGCGAAATGAATTATATCAGCCGTTAAGGCAAGCTGTTAAACCTATAACCAATTAAAATTCACTTAATAATCTTGCACCAAATAATTTGTAAGCTAATTTATGACAGTGATAGAAGATGCAAATATAGGGCAATGTATCAATTTCTAAAGCACTTTGCAATTTCAAAATGTAAATCGAATTTACAATGCATTAATATTTCCAATATAAACTGCGGGGAAAATGTAAAGCCCTTAAAGATGATGCATTATAATGCAGTATCTCAGTGTATAACGTGATAAATTCTCAAGATAACACACCACATAAACCGTTTTATGGGTTTTTATGCAATACACATATATTGTTCAAATTTGCTGTAAACAAAATATTGTTGTGTTTTTCAATGAATACATAAATAAATGAGAGAAAAAAAACCATTTATCCAGTGTGCATTTTTTCTTCCTCTCATTCCCAATCTCAGCCACAATCAATCTCTCTCCCCGCCAAGTGTGCTCAACCTCAGCACAGATACATATGCATTGCACTGTAGCATTCGCTCTTTCCGCCAAAAACACCGGAAGAAAGTCCCCAACATCGACAAAATGCGTATAGCCACCAAAATGCAATATATTACAGAAGATAAAGTTGCTGCTCGAGGTGAGAAAATGTGTCCATTATGATACATCGCAGTCATGCCGAAAGAAAAACAACCGTCCACGGTTGTGAAATAGAAAAATACACGTAAAAAATTCGGATCAGCTTTTGGGGGGAGGACATAAAAAATATTAAAAAATTCGAAAAACTCGTTTCCTGCACATTTTGTTGACCTCCAAGGACTTGAAGCGAGAGATAAACTGGTGTGCGTTGGTCAGTGTCACACCGAAAAGCACCGTACAAGAGTTGAAGCTTATGGTGGGCTTTATGTGGCGAATTTAATATGCATCACCTTTTTTTTACACCATATTCTCAACACCATGTGCCCGTGAGAATCTTATAAATATAGACGGGGGAAACTCTGCCTCATTCTCAGATCTACATCGACTCACAGACTGACTGGATCGCTTTTTCGCTTGTTACATTCCTTTTGGCGATAGACGCGCACGTTGAAGAAGTAAAATTTATTATTACAAACTCCCTGTCCAGTGAATGGAAGTTTATGCAAAAATATATCATTGAAATTTTTTATTTTTCCATACTACGTCAAATCATTTGATTTGAGAATGTGAATAAAAATGTGTGGCATTTAGTCGTGATCTTTGTGAGCAAGCATCGGAGATGATTTCTCAGCTTCTGCTGCAGAATTCTTCATTCTTGTGAAATCTCAACACACAGTGCATCGCTTCCGGGACTCCGAGAAAAAAAAGAAAGGAACACACGAAGGAAAGAGAAGTGCAATGTGTAAATGTTAACCGCTCTGAGAGAAGAACAAGTGAAGTGGAAGTAATATTAAAATGTGGAAATTCACGGGAATATCATTCATTCTTATTCACGTGCTCTTTGTGCAACACTGCGAATGTCAACATGGCCAAGTCATCATTGATTCCGTCTTCTCCCTCAAGAACTTCCTCGAGGAAGGCGGCCAGCGACTCACATTCGAGCAGAACAACTACTTTATCAATCAGGAGTATGATTTCATTATCGTGGGTGCCGGTTCGGCGGGATGTGTGCTCGCGAATCGCCTCACCGAGAACAAGGAGTGGAAAGTGTTGCTCCTCGAGGCCGGTCCGCGGGAGAATCTCCTGATGGATGTGCCCATGTTTGTGCACTATCTGCAGCAGACAAATGCCGATTGGCACTACAAGACTGAGAGTTCCAATGGCTCGTGCCTGGCCATGAACAACAATCAGTGCAAGTGGCCACGTGGAAAAGTCATGGGAGGCTCCAGTGTGCTCAATTACATGATCTACACTCGCGGTAATCGCCGTGATTACGACCGGTGGGCGGCAATGGGGAATCCCGGCTGGAGTTGGAATGACGTTCATCCGTACTTCCAGAAGCTGGAGAAGAGCTTCATCAGGGACGCCGTGCCAGGATATTTGGGCACAGACGGTCCCATGTCGATCTCCTACCCAAATTGGCACACCAAAATTGCCAAAGCCTTCATCAAGGCGGGCTTGGAAAACGGAGCATCCTATGTGGACTACAATGGTCCGACTCAAGTGGGTTACTCATATTTCCAAACAACCACCGAGAATGGCCTGCGGAAGAGTGCAAATGTGGCCTATATTTACCCCATTCGAGGCACCAGAAGCAACCTGCACATCAAGAAGGAAAGCTTTGTCACGAAAATCCTCATAGATCCGGCAACAAAGAGAGCTTATGGTGTTCAATTTGTCAGCGACAAGAAGCTGTATCAAGTGTTCGCGCGAAAAGAAGTCATCCTGTCGGCTGGCACAATTAACACCCCGCAATTGATGATGCTCTCGGGCATTGGACCCGGAGATCACCTTCGTGAGCACGGAATCACACCTTTGATGGACTTGGCAGTGGGTTACAATCTTATGGATCACACAGCAGTTCCCATCGCCCTCACAGTCAACATTAGTTCGATGTTTATTGAAAATATTGCCACAGTGCCCAATTTGCTGAAGTACGAGAGTACACGAAAAGGTCCCATCTCGTCAATTGGCGCCTGCGAAGCCGTGGCATTTTATGACTTTGACAATCCAACAGATCCTGATGGATGGCCGGACATTGAACTGTTCCAAATTGGCGGCACATTGTACGGCGATTCAATCTACAGAGACAACTTCAACATCCGCACATCAATCTATGCCACAATTTACCATGACATGGAGCGTCGCATGCAGAACGGCTTCCAGATTTGGCCCATGATTCTGCGCCCAAAGAGCCGCGGCAGGATAACACTGCGCGACACTAACCCATTCTCCCACCCCCGAATCCATGCCAACTACTTCTCCGACCCCAGAGACGTGCGGACAGTGCTTCGAGGGGTGAGGAAAGTGCAGGAGCTGGCAAAGATGCCATCGCTGGCACAAATAGACGCCAAATTGATCGACTACGACCACCCTGTGCCCACATGCGCCCACCATGGCGTCGATTCGGACAACTACTGGGACTGTGTCATCCGCCACTTGACACTCACCATCTACCACTACTCGGGCACATGCAAAATGGGCCCCCCTTCAGACCCCACTGCCGTCGTGGATCCCCGTCTGCGCGTGTACGGCATCAGCAATCTCCGAGTCATCGACGCCAGCATCATACCGGAAATTCCGGCAGGACACACCAACGGACCGACACTCATGATAGCCGAGCGTGCGGCTGACTT